AACAGGAGGATGGGTGGGAAGATGGGTGGGAGGATGGGTGGGAGGATGGGTGGGGGGAGGATGGATGGAAGGATGGGAGGATCGGAGGATGGGTGGGAGGACCGGAGGATGGGTAGTGGGAGAATGGATGGATGTTCAACACTATCCATAGACTTTTTATGAGTCATGAGAGGAAAGAGATTCTCTCCCTAATCTAGAACATATTAAAGAGGAAAGCCTTGTGGGTAGGTAGGTATAACATCTGGGATTGTTAGTCTTCTTCCTTGAAGGTGTGAGACATGGTGACAGAGGTTGGCCATAAAAGAGGTTCTGCAAGATGAGTTCCTCTAGCCTAGAGATACACCAGCAGGGCAGATGTCATACCACAAACACTAGAGCCTTAACTAATGCGTCTCAAGAAAGCAAGCCAGCTAGAGATGCTGCGCAGGAGTTGGTTCATCCTTACTTGTACAGAAAATAACACTGCTGGCTCAATACCTACGTGAAGTAGTGATGTCATGTGAAAGAGGCTCCAAGCCATTTTTAAAAATAAACAACATAATTCGAAACAAAAACAAGTGACTTTTAAATAAAACCTTTATTAAGTCAAGCTATCTGGGTGCACTCGGCCTGATCTGCCCTCATTTAAGTGTGTGTTCTTCGTAAGAATGGTTTATAAATGGCTTGTCTTAAAAGGAAGAAAAGAAGCATCTAGAGCACTTTACCCGGAGCCTCTTTATCTCTGCTGTTTTGTATGTAGATGTATGTACATATATCTGTAATTTCTCCCAAGGACCAGAAAAGCCAGGCTATAGAAGAGCCTTTGTTCATTATTTAATCAAGGAAAGAGCTTGAGCTCAAACAAGAGCAGGGAAAGGAGGAGGTGAGGGGGTGGGGCGGAGGCGAGCAGCCAGGGCAGAGTAAAATAGCCTGCATAAAATAGAACATTTTTATAAACAGACTCTTGAGATAAAAACCCAAACAGAGAGCAACAAACAGCTCCTTTCCATACCTTTCCCCCCATTCTTTCTTGAAGCTCATGACAGACTTGGTTCCCTTCCTGCATAATAGCCTCTCATTTCTTTCCGGAGGAGCACTGGTGCTCTGAACCCAGAATCTATCCCTGCTGCCCTTCTTCTTGTTGCTGCTTCCTCTGGCACAGAGGTGGGAAATCCTGGCCCAGATCCGTCCAGCCAAATGGGCCTCTTATCTCCATCCAACTGTTTTCATTCTCGACCGCAGCTGATTTCAAAGCCCACAGCCATCTCTACCCTAAAGACTTTGACCCTAACCTAAGACAGCTGTCCACAAACTGATTGATTTTTCATGATGTTTGGTATATACCCTGAGAATGAATCAGTCCAGCTAGCTATTGGACCCCATTTAGGCCCTGTGATGTCTATGCTCATCCCTCACATGTCAGGCTACATGCTGGCACACTGTGCTGTAAGTCTCACCATAATCCAGAAGGCAGGCAGGTTACTGCCATATTTACTTTGCAAGTATGGAGACCAGGGCCCAGAGAAATAGCTTCATGCCCATGGAAGTATCCCTGGCTTTGGGTGTCAGCCCTGGTTTTCCATGTTGAGCTCTCTGACTCTAATCCAGTCTTTGTTTTTCCCAGAATCAAATACTCTCGTGAGAGTATGTCTCTCTTGTGTCTTTCCTCTCGGTAGGAATGCATTCTTTCCTTTAACTCTATTTAAGTCAACTCATTACTGCACACCTCCTTGTAAAACAGAAGTTGCCATGGTGGGTTTTTGGATGGTGCTTACTGAGATCCTAGTTTAGGAAGACAGAACAACCATACAAATGGGTCACGTGTCAGGCAGCGGTCAGGTGTGGTGGCATATGCCTTTAATCCTAGCTCTAGGGAAGCAGAGACAGAGGTTAACCTAATCTACAAAGTGAGTTTCAGGCCAGTCAAGACTATAATGTGAGACCCTATCTTTCAAAGGGGTAAGAAAAGACAGCAGGATGTGGTAAGTGTGGGGAGTGGTCCTGAGAAAAGTCTTGCTCTTCAATGTTGGGGGCCAAAGAGACTGAATCAAGATGGTGATTTTGAAGTAGAGCTGAAGGGCCTAGGGAATCCATTACTTGGCGGGGGGAGGAACAAGCATTAAGGTGCCGAGGGTCCTGCTGTGTCTAAGAAACAGTGGAGAAGGCTGGCATGGGAGTCATAGTCTAGGAAGAAGGATTGGCAAAGGAAATTGGGATGGAGTAGAGAAAGGCAAGCAGCCATTGTGAGAGGTTAGATCAACTGCAAAGGGTGGCTGAGCATAAAGACGAAGGTTTCCTTTGGCAACAACTAAGTGAGATAGAAGGTTTTTGGAGAATGGTCAGTACAGGAATAACCGGATCCCTTTGTTTGCTGTGTTAAGCCTATCCTAGGGCAGCAGGGGTGGAAAGCGCACTGGGGCTGTAGTTCTGTGGTAGGACACTTGTGCAACAGAAGCATGTACAAAGTCCTAGGTGTGATCCTCCACGCTGCAAGGAAACAAAGAACTTCCCCTCTAACGCAGGAAGGTCACCTGGGACGCTCCAGGCACAAGTTAGTAGAAACATGGGATGAGATGAAAAGTGCTTAGATGTTAGAGCTCTTTAGAAGGTGGAACTACCGGGGTTTCCTAGCAACTTGGATGTATGGAGAGAAAGAGGGAGAGGGGTGGAATGTGAATGACTCCATGGTCTGAGTGAAAAATAGAGAAAATCGCGAAAGAGGAAGAATCACGCGATTGTGGAGGGTGAGGGCAGATTCTGAAAGTGGGGGTGGCTAGAAAATAACCACAGAGAAAAGAAGAGTGATAGCCTATGAAAGCAGTCTCCTGCCTCGCAAGACTCCAGTCTCTGCTTGTGAATTTTAAATGACATTATGAGTGAACATTTTATGTATTTGTTCATTCTGGGTTTGTTTGTTTTCTTTTTGTCTTTTTTAATTATTTTTATTGAGCTGTATATTTGTCTCCATTATAAGTTGCATATGAGCAAGTCTGGACTGGCTAGACAAGGCAGGGAAGGAAAGATTTTACATACACAGGAAGGAAACTAAATACAAACAAGAGATTGTAACAGGGCAAGGAAGAGGTGAGACAGAGAGGGTGAAGGGGAGGAACGTCTTAGCTGGTAATGAATGGGGTATGTATTTTGGTAAGGTAGAAGAATTTTGGGTTGGGCAACGACAGAAGGAGGGATCTGGATGGACAGAAGGTGGTGGGTGGCCAGAGAATGACAAGTCTTAAAATAGAGTTTTGATGGAATCTAAAAACCAGTAGTCGAATGCTCAAAGAAATTAGAATGGCAGTAGATGACTTCTAGAATCATCTTCCCAGACATCTCCTTCTTGGTCTCAATTCTTTTTCTTCTGTGTGTTTCTAATACTTGATTTCTGCCATTCCGCCATTCATTATCCTTAGCTGATACAATTTAGCTCATGTCCTCTGTCCTACCTGGGTTAGTTTGGTACCTCATAAAAGATGGATTGAACACACAAGCCTTGTCATTAGGGGGATTATTAGTGTGGAAGGCAATAGGTAGATTGCTGGCAGAAGCTAGCCCGACTTTCACACAACCACACAAGCCTATTCAACCCTAGGCAAAGCAGAATAGAAAATTACACAGTTCAAGTAAGACTGAAAAGTTCTGCACATTTGTTGAGTTCTCCAGCGGAAGGTATCTGTTAGAGAATTCCCCTCCCAGAAATGAGTTGCCTTTTCCTCCTGATACAGACATTTCTAGGCTGGGCACAGACTGTGGGGAGTGTGGAGTGGAGCTAATACAATAGCAGGGTCCTGAACCTAGCAGAGGGAGACCCTTAGTCCATTTTGCTAACAATTCTTGGGGAGCATCCTTCCACAGAAAGCTTACTGTTCCAGTGCAGGACCAGTGAGGTCATCAGTCTTGGCTCATTGCTGTCAGATAGCCCTTTGATGAGATCTGGATACTGAGAACCTCCCCCAGAGAGAAGCCTGCGATGATTTCCTTCCACACTGATCACATTTGGGGAAGTTTATGTCACTGACCGGAGCACTGTGTGCATGCTGCCTGCTAAGCTGATGTCCCCTCCCATGGTGGAAGCAGGCATGAATGACAAATTTGTCAGAACTGGGCTTAGAGGGGACTATGGCAAGGTGGCACACACCCCAGCTGCCCATGGAGGCAGAACCAGAGACATCTGGGGTTCTATTTGTCACTCTTCTGTGTACACTAGCAGGCTCCATGTCTGCTGGTTTCCCCTGTCTGTTTTATATTCTTTGTGTCCTGCCAGATTCTTGGGCCCATCATTTTCCCTTTTTGACACCTAAAAACTCAATCCTCACAAAACTGTACTTAAAGGCTTTGTCCTTCGCTCTTGGTCCAATTTCCGAGGCCTGGCACCCAAATAAACAGCCACCTTCAGTCCCCGGGCATTTTGCACCCTCCTCACAAAATGTACCTTTGATCCCTCCTTCCCACTGGAAATCCTGTCACTCCACATTTGCTGACAGCGCCCAGTCTGTAATTCCTGCAGCAATCTTCAGGTCAGCCCTGCCCTTTCATGCCTGCTGCCAAAACGTGGCCTATGCTCTAGTTATTCCTCTCCTCAACACAATTCATAGCTTCCAGCATCGCCAGTCCTTCGCATCCTTTTCCCCCTTCCCTCCACCCCCTGCCTCTCCTGATTCCACTCACTAGCTTTTCTTTTCAACGTCGGATCTCACTGGATCTCCCTGATCGAGGCAACCTAGTCACTCTCTCTTCTCACCCTGACCTTGAATAATCATGGTCCCTAGAACTACTTTCCCCAACAAAAGGCAATCAAATAGAACAAAACCCTTTCAGAGACAGGGCAGATCACAGAAAAGTCCTGCCTGAACTCGCCCTCAAGAAGCAGGTTTGTAGGGATGAGGCGGCATAAATGTAAGAATGGCCGCTGTAGGTGGGTTCCTCAGTGTTCCACATTATGGAGTGGGGAAGCTGGAACTCTGGTGTGTGAGACTCTATCTGATGTCACTGTAACAAATGAACTAACAATGTCATCAATGAAGCAGAAGAAGCAGAGTTCAGCCTTGGTGTGAATGCGGCTTTCAACACCAGAATCCTGTGGGAATGCTGACCAGAAGGGCAGAACCTTGGCCTCCCTAGGCTGACTGAGCCACAGTCTGCATCTCCAGTGGGATCCCCAGCTGATTTGTAGACCCAGCACATTCAGAAGCCAAATACAGATAGCTGAAGCCATACCTCCACCTCTCACGGAGAGGCTCCAGACTCAGGAAAATGGCTAGCGGTTCGTAGTCTAGAGCCAATTTCATTTTCTGACAAGTTCACTCAACAGTCTGGCCCCTTAATTATTTTTGTTTTCTACAAAGTGACGAATCAAGGTATTCATTCTCTGGGGATTCTTCCCAAAAGTCGGTATTCTAAGGGTTAATCCAATGTGTACTTTGTAGTTTGGGTACTTTCTATGGGTGTTTAAGAGGCCATGCACTGAGAGGCATGCTCTCAGTGAAAAGAGACCAGTGAATCAAGGCAAATGCAGAGAATGCACTCCTCGTCTCTGCCCACCTTCACAAATGCACAGTGCCCCAAGCTATTCTTAGACTGACATGCTGCCTCTGGGTTCTCACCTGTCACTAGTCTCTCTAATCTAAAGAAAACAAATGTGAGAAATATCACATCTTCTGATGCATGAGCAACTTCCAAGCTCTAGATTTCTGGGTAGGAAGAAAGCCCTGTTGCAGATTGTCAAGGCAGCTTGGGTTCTACCTCATTGGTAAATGAGGACAGGAAAATTAATCTGGGGAGGGCACAAGATTTGGATATTCCAAGACGAAATGAGGCAGGGTTAGAAATGCTCTCAAGAGGCCCTGCTTCCAGACAGAAGTGTGTGTGTGTGTGTGTGTGTGTGTGTGTGTGTGAGAGAGAGAGAGAGAGAGAGAGAGACAGAGACAGAGACAGAGACAGAGACAGAGAGCAAGCTCATGTTGAGCACATTCTAAACCATAACCACAAAAGATCTTCCAGAAGAAACCATTTTTCTCTGAATGGCAAGCACTGCACTGTAATTTAAGAATGTTTGGGGTTTGGTATGGGTGCACCTGTCCAATATACACAGAAAACATCTGGAGCCATTAAGTGTTCTTTCTGTATTCCAGGACTGTTATGGATCAATACCAAATGAGGAGGTGGATTTCTTCTTCCTGCTTAGTGTGAAAATGCTCGTGAAACATCTCAAACCCTCTGGCTCTGCCTTCATTTAAAAAGTACCAAAATTCCTAAAATGTTCAGTCTGCTAGCACAGACAGCATCCTGCTCCAATATGGCAATCTAAAATATCCATCCATAATCTCCAGCGTCTGCTCTGTACTGAGCATCATATTTTGACATTCCAAGAAAAATTCTTTACAGTATTTTTGTTTTTTTTTAAGAAAAGAAAAAGGTAATAAAAGGAAGGACTCAAAAAACAAAAATAAATATCTTCTAAGGATAATTACTCTTCTTAAAATGGTAATAATACATAAGCTTTAAAAACATTTATGTTGGCAGATTGAGACTCGCCATATTTTTAGTAGATGCCTGTTGGCAACCACAGTTGGAAACAATTAGTAACACATTCATTACATATCAATTTACTGTAAAGGTTAATAACACTTTGTTTTATATAAGATCTTCACCAACCTTTCTGTAATCTGTGATGTTTCTTAACACTTTTTCCAAACCCTAATAGTCTTTTTTTTTTTTTTTTGCACAGTGCTTGGTTCAGAGGCATCATTCAATTAAAAAATTGCTCACTAAGTGAATGAATCAATGTTTATGTTTCTATGGAAATTTCCTAAATGAATGTCTATAAAAGTGTTTGAATTTCATAAACCCTGCATTTACAGCTAGGGTGGGATCTAGCCTCAGTTTATACCCAGCTGTTCCTATCATTTTAATGAAAGTATAGATATTGATTGATCTGTCATCAGAGTTTTTTTAAACAGCAAATCAATGAACTACCCAAATAGAAAGATTTTAAAAAGATCCAAAATGAAGTATACAAATAAACATAACTAGTCATTGGGAAAATGCAAATTAAAATTCCAAGGATACATAGTGTCTAATCTACCAGGTGGACAACAAACAAAAAACAATGTGGAGTGTGGAGGGATATGGGCTCTACCAAAAAGACGAGAAGTTAATGGCATCAGAGGATATCTTGGTGAGCAAACTGAGCCAAATCAACTATGCTACAGTATCCTTCGTATGTGGGGGAAAGAAGAAAAGGAAAAAAGAAGAAAAAATGACCTGGAATGAGAAGAGTGGTTTCTAAAAACTGGGAAAGGTGCCAGATGTGCAAAGATAGAAGATAGGCAGGTGGAGATCACCAATGAGTACCTGTAGGCACTCTACGCAGAAATACCAATGAATCCCAGTAACTTGTACAATTAATATATACATACATGAATGGAGGAAGGAAGGAAAGAATGAAGAGGAAGGGAGGGACAAAGGAAGGGAAGAAGGAAGAAAGTCTGAGTCAAACCCCAGCCTTTCCACTCACTGGTCAATGTGTGCTCCAGGACAGTATTTCAATCTGTAAGTACTCCATAATGGGATAATATCAACATCTGTCTCATTAAAGGACTTTAACATATAAAGCACCCATAACTCTATGCTCAGTAGAAAGCAACTCTTTGAAAATTTAGGAAGCACAACCTTTCTGGAACTGTTGCTCAAATATAAATTAATACTGTCCACTCCAGAAGGCATTCAATATCTTCTGCTTAAAGTAAGAGTGGGCACATCCCACCAGTTTGGGATGTTTGGAGAGCCTACTCCCCAGGAACATGTTACTTTGTTTCATTTTCAGACTCTTTGCAGCATTAGGTGTCATGAAAAACATCTGGAAACCACTTAATTGAGGAATGGCCAACTACACTATTACTGAGTTACTATGTAATACTTCAAATAACAATGTAGTCTCTGTGGTGTTATGTACTTGTCTATAACATGCTTTAATAAAAAGAATACCCATCCATACAACTTGTGATAGTGTTTGAACCAAACCATATATAGATGTACGTGATGGTCAATAAGCCTTGTCAACTTGATAGCAACCATAATCAGCCAAGAAACAAGCCTCTGGTCACATCTGTAAGGGATTATCTGCTTTGTATTAGCCTCTGAGCATGCCTGAGGGATAATTTAGATTAACTGAAGTGGGAAGCACCACCTTCCTCGTGGATGGTACCATCTCATGGTCTGGAATCCTAAACTGAATGAAAAGGAGAAAATGTGCTGAGTACCAGTGTTCATCACTCTCTGCCCCCTGATGTAACAGGAGTGCAGACCCTTTGTTCGTCCTGGCCGCCCAGCAAACTTACACCCGAAATAACCACACAGAAATTGTATTAATTAAATCACTGCCTGGCCCATTATCTCTAGCCTCTTATTGGCTAACTCTCACATCTTGATTTAAAACATTTCTATTAATCTGTATTACCACGTGGCAGTGGCCTGTCTGGAAAGAGTCAGCACGTCTGTCTCTGGTGGCTCCATGGTGTCTCTCCCTAAGTCTGCTTCTTTCCTCCCAGAATTCAGTTCTGTCTTCTCCACCTACCTAAGTTCTGCCCTATCAGGCCAAGCAGTTTCTTTATTGATTAACCAATGAAAGCAACACATAAACAGAAGGACCTCCTACACCACCCTGACTGTGGGTACAAGGTGATCAACTGCCTCATGCACTCACAGCCACAACTTCCTTCCTTTGATGGGTTGTGACCCCTGGAACTGTGGACTGAAATAAGTTCTTCTTAAGTGGCTCTTGTCAGATGTTTTGCCAAGTCAATGAGAAAAGTAGCCAATACAAACTATGTATGCTAAATAAGCCTAAAGTTTCTATGTGTGTATATGCCTACATACATGTTCAGTCAGTATCTGGGGTAGCAGCCAAATAGAATTTTAGGTGATTTACATCATTCCTTAAAATAATGCATCCTTCTATTACCATAATTAAAGGTTAGTGCCATGGAAATAGGAAATCAGTGGATAGTGAGCTTCTGTTTGGAATGATGAAAACATTCTAGAGATAGGCAGATAGTAATCATGGCCACACAACAATTTGTGTGTTCTACTAGGTAACACACATTAAATTGTATACTTAGAAATGGGGAAATGCCAACGTTTCCTGTATGTATTTTACCATAATAAAAAAAAAACTAAGGTGATACCAATAGCTCCATACTGTAACACATTACAAAAGACTAGGCAGGTGTTGGTCTCTAACATTGGTCAAATTCCTTTAAAGAAATCGAGGTGGGTGAGCGAGACTTGACGGACAGAGCACAGGCTGAGAAATGACAAGGGAGTACTATCGGGAGAGGCAAGTGTGGTTTAAAGTCCAGCGGTACCCACACATGGAACACAGCCTTCATCGGCTAGGAGAGAGAGGAGAGAATTCCCTTCATTCCTCTTTTCCCGAGATCCATAGAAACACTTTCACAGATGGGGAGGAGCTGGGGCAGGAAAGAAATGTGTCATAAATATTAGCATTACATAATGGCTGTCTTTCTACGTCTTCTCCTTCAGAGAGACTCTGAGCACCTGGAGGGAGCTTGATTTCCTTGGGAGAATATGCCTTTCAAGTAGATTAAAAACGATTTTCATGAGTTGCAGTTGTTTACATATAAACCTGTCATTCAGGTGATGTGTGCCTTCACAGATATCCACAGAGGCCTATTGACAGCTCCCTTCATTCCGTTTAGGTTTCTATGTGAGTGTCTGGATAGCAAGGAGGAGAGAGGGGATGGACAGAGGGTGTTTTATATTCTGGATAGGAAACAAAAACACAAAGAGAATAATGGGAATGGGTCTAGGGCAAAAGACTAGTGTCTCCTTCCACTGGTACAGGGAAGGAAGTTTCAGAAGTTGACCACCACAAGCCAAGCTCATCCTGGAGGCAGGCTGGGCTCACTCTGGATTACAGACACAGAAGACTCCTTGTCTGCCATAGGAAACCTGCACTCACTCTGCAGAACCCTAATGCTAACTGCACTCAAGGACCAAGGAATATTCAACACAGAGGACACACCAGCTTTAGGGAAGCTGGACAGTATTAAAGAATCCTGAATTTAGCCATTGCAAGTTTCATTTTTTGTCCTCTATTTTTGAGATTCTAATTTAATTACATTTTTCCCTTCCCTTTCCCTTGGCCAAACCCTTCCACATATCTCTACCCACTTTCTTTCAAATCTGTGGCTTCTCTTTTCACTAATTGCTATTGTATGTATGCATATATACATATATACATAGATCTATATCCCTGTGGTGGTTTTAAAGAAAATCGCACCATTGCACATGTGGCCTTGTGGGAGTGAGGTGTGTCTTGTTTGGGGAAGGGTGTCACTATTGAGGTGGACTTTGAAGTCTCATATATGCTCAGGCCATACCTATAAGTGGTGCAGGAAAATTGTCTGTATTCTATCAATCATGTTTTAAATAAACACTGATTGGCCAGACAGGAAGTATAGGTGGGTCAACCAGACAGAAATAGAGGCAGGGTGATGAGAACAGGAGTATTCTGGGAAGCAGGACGCTCCCTCTGCAGTTCTGTCCAGATCACCGAAGAAGAAAGATGTGAGCTGCCCCGCTGAGAAAGGTACCAAGCCATGTGGCTAACATAGATAAGAATAATGGGTTAATATAAGCTACAAGAGCTAATAAGTAGCCTGAGCTAATGGGCCAATCAGTTTTATAACTTATGGAAATCTCTGTGTGATTTTCTTGGGGGCTTGCTGGCTGTGAGGTACTGGGTGGGACAGAAACCCCAACAAGTAGGCCCCTCATGTTACATGTAAGTCAGTCCACTTCCTGTTGCCTGCATATTAAGATATGAAACTCTCAACTCCAGCATTTTGTCTGCCTGCATGTTGTCATGTCCCACTCTGATGATAATGGACTGAACCTCTGAAATTGTAATCTACCCCAGTAAATATTTTCTTTTTTAAGAGTTGCCATGGTTATAGTATCTCTTCACAGGAATGCAAACCCTGTGACAATCTCTAAATATAACCTGTTCAGTCCAGATAATGTTACTTATATGTATATTTGTATCATCTAGTAATATCAGAAGCTATACCCATAACATCTTACCGAATTGACCACCCAAGTAGGAGATGAGCAAAAATGACGTTAATGAACAGTCATTATATAATGCTATTGGATGACACCATGAGACCTTGACTCTACACAAAGAATTAAAGGCAACTGAGGAAAGCAGAGTGGGCAAGGCAGTTTTCCCAGGGCACACCAATTAGCTGTCTCGGACCAAATGCTCAGCCCTGAAAACATGCACTGCAAATCTTAAATCCTTTATACTGACAAATAAAATTGAATGTAAAAACATTCTCCACAATGAACATTGGTCTTCATTCTACAGAGATGAAGACATGGATGGGAAACCTTTGGAAAGAAAAGGCTAAGCCAGTGGCAGGGGAAGAGACAGACAGATGGAGCAGAAGAGGGAATTGTATTTGTTTGAAATCATTAGATTGATCCTAGACAAATGTCGCGTTATAACATGGTCATACCAAATGACATGGGAGTAATGTATTTTGATCCCCCTCCCACAAGTGTTGGCAATTGAACCCGGGGCCTTAGGTCTGCTAGACAAATACTCTACTACTAAGTTATATCCCAATCCTAATACAGTGAGTTTTGACTTCAATGGGACCTGTTAAATGCTGTTTCATGATCCGTTGTCAAAAAGCAAAGGATGGGATCAGGATCTTAAAAAATTTAGGCTGACTGAACAGTGTTACTCAGAAATTACGAATTATCTGAATCTAGCTGAGCTAGATAGCCATGACCATCTTCTCCACAGCCTGTGACTGTGTTACTCAGGGGGTGATTTTAAGAGATGTTTTCTGAAAACAGCTGAAGCCCAGCCTGACTTCGATAAAAGAGACACATTTATGAAGCCAGGAAGACTCAAGGGGGTGGAAAACATATAGGGCCCCGTTTGCAGAATCAGCCTTCCAAATTACCATTCTGCCCTGATAATCTCAGCAACATCATAGTTAAAATCAATGTGGTAAAATATAACAATGTAAAGTTTGATTTTTAAAAATCCATTCTATGAGGTGAATCTATCAGCACCTCAGAGAAGGAAGTTATTGGAATTTAATCAACTTTAAACACAGCCACAAAGATCAGAATGGCATATGTCAACCCTGGATACAAGGAGGATTTAATATAGAGTCGGGCTTATTAATCAAATGCAGAATCCTCCTGAACATCCTGCCCTGAATCTGGAATACCATGTCTCATATGAGACCCTAAGAAGAACAAGAATATACAAGGGCAAGAGAGAGGATGATTGTGAGACGCTGTAAAGGCATGTGGTAAGGACCATGGACCTGGGTATTCTTCCCTTCATCCTTCTCTCCTAGCTTTCTCACAGCCTCTATGTCCTGTGGATACCCATCCTGGCTTGAACTGGATAGGAAGACACCAACTCCCAAGGTAATATTTCCTTGATGGGTCTGTTAGAAATCCTTCCTTCTTTGAGTAGGAATCTCATTCTTCATGACCAGTCTAAGTCTGAGCACTCTGGGGTTCACAAATCAATTTTTTTTTTCAGACAAGGTCTCATTATGCAGCCCATTGGCCTGGAACTTGCTGTGCGCACTAGATTGGCCTTGAACTCTCAGAGATACACTTGCCTGCGTGCTGGGGTTAAAAATGTGTACCATCACACCTGGCTCACAAATCAATTTTAATCTCTCTTCTGTGTAAACAGCCCTTTCAACAAATAGAGAAGATGGGGTCACTTCTACCACCCTACTCCTTGAAAATTAATTAATTTATTAAATTAATTAAGTAGAAACTTTTCAAATTAAGCAAGGATATTTTTAAAGATGAAGCCTCAAGCTCCTCTTTTGGCTTCCTGCCTTTCCGGGTTAGTGGCTGCCTGTCTCAGAGATGCAGGCCTGGCTCAGACTTTTCTCCTTGCAGTTAGTTCAGAGGTACCTGTCTGGGCT